TAATTCTATACGTTTTTCATAGTACTCAAACACAATAGCTTTGATTAATATACATACATACGTACATATACATATCAAAATGTATTAAAAAAAGTATATAATCTTATTTATTCACAGAATGTTACTACTATGGAGTACCTTTCTAAACAGATCTTTTCTAGATACATTCTTCTATAAAACCTTAATTAATTAAAGATAAAAAGTCACAATACCTGTTACATTACATAAAATGTTTCTTTAGTACCTGTATTTCATATTATATAATTATTCGTTATAAACCGTTTAACATAGCTGTTTGTATTATCTATAGCCTAAGCTTTTTATTTATATGTATGTTTATATTTTATTTGCATTATATGTATAAATATATAATGTATTCGTATTTATACATATAAATATCCTAATGTTTGCAAATGTATTAAATATGAATCAGATGTACAAATATATTATTTTTTGCTATGAACGATATCCTGAATATTTATTGAGAAGTGTTCTTGCTTCTGCAAGTATTTTTTCATCTGCGGTTGTCAATGCGGGTTGCGTTAATATTTCATCAAGATAATTAATCGCACGTGAGTATTGCTTTAGAGCAATATTACACTTGCTGATAAATAACTGTATATCGAGAGTATTATTGCCAAGTCTTGCCGCTGTTTCAAAACAATCGAGAGCTTCTTCATGTGTAGCACTTGGAATTTCAGAAAATAATGTTGCTGCTACCTAAACAAGTTTAAAGAAAATTTCTTAATTTAAAAACAAAAGTTTGACTATTATATTGGAATTATTTAATATATTAAATCACGAATAAACCTTTTTTTCAATCCAAGTTAAATTTGCTATCTCGAACTTAAATCTGCCAAGGAGGTAATGTAATTGTTTATCATCAGGCTGCATTTCTAATGCCATTAATACATAATTTTTAAAATGGACACCATTCTTTATTTTGTCTGCTGTCGATAAATAATCACCATTTAACCCTATGAGTATAGCATACCACTTATACAAATCTGCGTTTTGAATGTCAATAATTTTCTCGCAATGTGCAATTCCTTTAATAATAAAATATTATTTATATTTATTGTGTTTAATAATAATTTATTATTTTATGCATACCTTCAAGAATTATCATTTTCCTTTTATCAGAAGTAATTGTAGCCTCTGCATAATAATAAGATGCTCTTGCAAACCTCCATACTACATTTACATTATCATGATGAGATTTTACCAAAGTTTGTAATTTATAATATGTTTGGCTATCAAAATCTCCATTTTCATCCTTGTCAATCTCCTTAAGTATTAAATCCAATTGGTTCAGTTCCTTTGAGAGCCTGTATTACTGAATATATAATCTCTTCCTTCTACATTTTTAAAATAATTTTACTTGCCCAAATGATTAAATTCTAATTTCCCAAATAAACTACAGACAATTTTGCTTAAGTCATAAAAGAAATGACATAAGTGGAATGTTCTTAAGATGTTTCTTGAGAAAATGGACTCATATGTTTACTAAAATAAATTGCAAATTCTCATATGTGTTATTCATAAAAGTATAACACATTTATATTATTGTTTTTACATTGTCAACTAACCTTATGTCATTTTCAGCAATAATACTTTCACTATCAGAACAGTCGTAAAATTCATCATCTCCAATATCTGTATCCGCTGTGGAAAAAGCATCAATATCGGTTTCATTATCCGTTGCAGTGTACGTAGTATCATTAGAAGCAAATCTTTGTGTCACTTTTCGTTTCTTCTTCTGCTGACTGCGTTGTAACCTTAAATGAAATAAATAATATAAATATTTAATAAAAAATTTTATATAACTCTTATAATTTTATAAATAAAATTAAAGTAATTATATGCTTTTAATAAAACTGTACTATTACCTTAATGTTTCTAATTCTTCTTGCAATTCAGCAATTCTTTTATTCGCAGCATCTAAATTAGAGGTTACAGTCGTATGCTGCTGATTTTCTAAAATTTTATGATAAATAAATATACTAGCAGCGCTCAAAACACCAACAGTTACACCAATAGCAGCAGCAATTAAATTACTGTGTAGATGGTTCATGGTGCTACAAACAAAATTTTTATACTGCAATATTTATACATAAGAATATGTTTAATACAAAATTATCATTATATTACAGAAGCAAGATACATACATATTAATAATGGAATACTGTAGAGCTATGATTAAACCAAATTCATCAATATACCGTAGTTTACTTTATTTTTCTATAAGCTGTGTCACAGATTGTATTAATTTTTCACATTTATTATGCATTAAAAACATATTAACAAAATTCATGAGATAAGAACAGAGTTTAATGTCACTTAAAAAGTGTTCTCTTTGTACTTAGGAATAAGAAATAATGTTTCCTCTTCTCATTGAAAAATAAAAGGTTAAATCTTCGAGATATAAGTCACATCGTGTACCGGCAACCAAGAAAGAAATATCATCCGGCACATTGTAAGTGATACACTTTGAATCGTTAAGTATGACCCGATCTTATTATTTAACTTCCTCAATGATTCAACAATTTTTTTAAAGGTTCAAAGTACAAAATTGTATAAAATCTGCACCACAAATTATACATATGTTTTACTAAAAAAGCCTTTTCAAGCGCACATATTTAAATATATATTTTTATGTACAGTCATAACAACTATAGATAGGTATCCTCCTTGGTTTAGTCAGACATTTTACAGCGCCTCTTGCGAGAACATTAAAAAAAAACACGAAAGAAATAAAATTAATATGAAATATAATAAGATGAAATACACTTACATGGAATATTAATGAAAATGTAAAGGGTAGTGAGAAGTCATCGAAATCGAGAAAATTAAAAATATTAGAGGTATTGGTAAAATTTAATATAATATATATACATTATCTACATTACACTTTTAAATGCGATTTGTATACTATTGAACACAATATTTACTACTTGTCCATTCCACTCTTATAATCCAAGCACGGAGAATTCTTATAAAGGCGAAATCAGTATTTTGCGAGACCAATTTCTAGCGCGCATGCGTATGTAAGTCGTGTTCTATGAATATAAGTTTAGTTTGCAAGTGGTTTCCTAAGAAGGTAGTTACACAATTTTGAAATTAAGAATGAAAATGGAATGCCAAAATTTAAATGTTGGAGTAAATATTTAAATATACAAATTGAATTTATCAAGTTATTATTTATTAGCGTGTATTTTTGGCAACAAATATATACATATCTATGTACTTCTCTTGCAATCGATTAACCTTGCTATAAAAAATATCCATGTTATTTAAATGTACCTTAAAAACGAAATTCGTGATATTGCAGCCATTTTATACTATGGTCGTTTATATTTTCAAAATTATATTACTTATATCCCTTTTTTGTTCCTGTATTTTTATTTCTGTTGGTTTGGTGTAATCCGAGTAAACTGATAAAAAATAAAATTGATAATAATGATATGTATTTTTCTGATGTCCTATAGTACAGACCAAAAGCTTTCTCTAATGTTATATACTTTCAACATCAAGTACTTAATTGTATTATTACATTACTCATTAACTAATCAAACCTATAAACAAAGCGCATATATACAGAGATCATCTTGGATGCAGTGAAAAGTAATAAGTAAAAGTAATTAAGTATTAAGTATTTAAATATCTATTAACCAGTTATACTGAAGATCAGCCAATTTGATGATACAAACTTGAAAGATTGTAACAGAAGTTTCACCTCTATATGAATACTCTATGCTCGATCTGGGTGTTACGATAAATGGCAATTGCATCTGTGAAAAATCTTATAACGCGAATTTCAGCATCGCTTCAAGTGACTTGACGTAGCCATTTTATCAATAATCGATTTATTAATATTTTTATTTTTTAATCTATTAAAATTTGTTTACCGCTATTTTACGATTATTTGAAATTTCTCAACTTCGGTTTCCAAGTTCAAATGACAGATAAGGGATTTTTTTACATATTTACATATTAATTTATCATTTTATATATAAGCTTGTAAAGAATCTCATGTACTTTTTTTATTACATTAATTTGTAAGAAGAAAAATCTAATACGTTCAATAATACAAATATAGGCAAACGATTTTTAAGAATCAGTTTATTTGAAATTGTATTTAGAAATTATTAGGAAAAAATAAGAATACAATATTTGAATCAAGATTCATTTATAATTTTTAATTTGATTTTTTGTAAGACCTGTTTATTTTTCCAATAATTTCGTACATAATGCGTATTGTTTTATACATACTTTATCTTTCTGACAATTTATTAACACTTTTAATATAAAAACCCCAATTTTGTCATTAAAAAATGAATGGAAAAAATAAAATATAAACCTTAACGACCTAATATAATAAATAATGTAATAATGTTGAAATGTGAACTTTAATGGGATGTGGATAATTACAGATAATCATGTATATATTTGATTTCCAGAATGTAAGCACAAGTGTTTATACATTAAATTATATTATAAATTGTATTATTTGAACATTCTTTTTCTCGCATTAAAAATTTTTTATAATAATATTCGGGACAAAGAAAATGATAATTTTAATTGAACAAGAAATTGAAACAGGATAAACAATATTTACATGTTTTCTTCAAAATCTTGTGTTGTATTTTAATTATGGTTTTCGACATTGCATACCGGAATTAATACGACTTATGCGTACTACGTGTTTAAACATATGCAACGTATGCAAGAAATGCTTACATTCCTAAGAACCGTCACCTATGTCTCTTTGAGTGGATTGGAGGGAGGTAAGGAGAAAAGTTTAAGAAGTGGGGTAAGGAGTTACGACCAAAGAATTAGTATTGGAAGGGAGAGATATATAGCGATATATGCAATTTCCTGTAAGCATAATTTTTTGCATTAGTTTGAATTTCGTAAATGGCTGAAAATACATTTCCTGTGTTGCTTGAAAATTTGCTTTCGGTAGTTAATACTCTCTTGTTATTTATTTTTTATATATATTGTTGATTGATATTTATTACGTGTTACGATGAATACGTGTAAGATATACATATAAATAGAAATAATCTTTAGATTTTTTTTTCTACAAACTTTCTTTTTCCTTTTTATTAACAGATGTGGAATATATTATTACGTTAATAAATATAAAACTTGATATCCATTTACCATTCCAGCGTAATTTTTCGTTTCCTTGTACAATTTCCTAATACAATACAAAAATAGTTGTAACTTAAATATTAAATAAAAGTATTGTTACTTTATAACAAAATAAAACGTTTCAGTTATTTATTAAAAAAAAGTATTATCAATTTTTATGTAAAATCATAGAAATGATGAAAAATAAATTGGTTAAATAAAATTATGTTGTGAAAACCAGGTTAATCGCAACATCCAGGAAAGCTCGTTTCTTTTATATTATTAGTGAAAAGCCTCATTTTATTTTTAGACAAAATTAGCGATTTACATAAATGTATTTATTAATAAAATATTTATAAATAACTTGCTTCATCAAATAATGATTATTATAGAAATTTATAGAATCAAAATGTTAATAACATTAAGTTCTGTTGCGCGAATTACTCAAAGTAATTATTATACTTGATTAAATTACATTCATTGATTACTTAAAATAAGAAACGCCAAATTTCATTTCTACACTATCAGATCTAAATACAATGAATTCCTTGGATGCACTACAGGAGGGTTTAAAGAAGTGGGGTAAGGAGCAAGGGTGGGGAACTTAAGAACAAGTTAAGGAGAGGGGAAGCATAGAAATCTGCAGCGACGCTTCGTAAGCAGACTCATTTGGTTTTCAGTCACGTATTCTTGATTCGACAGTTCGTTTATGGGTCGCTTCTACGTTCGTAATCACGCACAACATTTACAATACGTATCAACTTAATATCTCGTTCATATAACTGACAATTGACATGACAT